CCTTGGAGGTTGGGATTTCAACCTGTTAATTTTGGGGGAACACAAACATTTAGACCACAGCAATGAAGAATAAGTTTGTGACAGTATCACCAGGCCACAGAAGGCTTTTATTGCTGACAATAATGACCAAAAGTGAGAAATTATGTTGAAGAAGATAGATTTGAATTTTATCCTCAAAACTGAAGGATTAGGGGATGTGAAAAATCAAATGTAAGACGTACTTAAGAGTGCATTCTTCTTCACTAGAGGACGGGAAAGGATCCGCAGACCCTTATATCCAGTTGCCTACTTGATGTCTCTGCTGGGATGTCCCAAAAGCATCTCAAGTTCATTATTTTCAAGATCACAATTGTGATTTTTCCTAATCAAACCTGCTCCAGTGTTTCCTGTCTTCATACACCACTCATAACCCCATTCCAGTCTATTGTCCATACAGTAGTCAGAGCAACCTTTTCCAAATATGAATCCGGTCATATTACATCCTCCCACCCATGGGTTTGTCCCTCCTTCTATTCAAGCTACACTGGCCTTCCTCTGATTTCCTCTTGCCACAGGGCCTTTGCACATGCAATATCTATTTCTGAAAAGTGTGTCCCTTGCACTGCTCTACACAGTTTAACTTTGAATTTCATCTCCAACACTTATTTGGGGAAGTTTTCTGTATCCTCACTGACTTGGTCAGATGCCCTTTGTAGTAGAGCATAGTGCTTTAGTCTCCATTTTAATATTTATTAGTATAGCATTTTACATTTATTTTATATGAGCAAAATACAGTTCCCGCCCTTATGAAATTTACAGTATTATTTGGAGGAGGGGGAGACATTAATAATTATGCAGAAGCTCCCTAATCTGACTCTATCATACAGATAATTAGTGGGTTGATTGAGAATCAGGTAAATCAGGGGATCATCTTTTTGATGAAACATCTGTTTTAATTTAAGACCTATAAATATGCATTAATTTGCCAATCTTTTGGTAAGGCTTTTCCCTTATGGATTACTGACTAATGTTCCCGCAGGTCTTTTTTTGCATGAACTACACTTAACATAATACTCTGTGATTTTCAGTTGAAGTGTATTCTTAAAAGTGGAATGAGAACTGTGATGCTTTGAAGCTATGAGTACAGAATCCTTGATTTTTAACTTTTTTCCTTTTTACCCTCTCCTTCCACACTTGCCTTGCCCACACCTGTTTTGGCAGCAATTTTTTTTAGTGACTCCTATCTTAATAGCAGCTGTGGTTTTGTGTTGGCGAGTGGTGGAGGAAGGCAGCTGTCTCACTGATGAGTGCTCAGGGGGGCCAGGCAAGGGCTCTGCAGCCAGCCACTTCTGCAGGTGGCTGAAGTTCCACCACAAGTGCATGTTGCTTTGGCTCCGTGGGTGCTAAGTGAGATGACTTTGGAGAATACAAGCACCAATGTCCTGTGCCTGGGTTGTAGGTATTGGAGCCAAATGCTCACACAGCTGTCCTGTAGCATTTCCCAGAAGTGTCTTTGGTCCAACTAGACCTGTATATATTTGTTCTAGGTAAAGTTATCTCTTGGTATTTTAGGATAGAAGGGCTAAATTACAAGATGTTCCCTAGGCATGTTTTCTTTTCCTCATGTCCATGGCCACTCAGATACTCTGATGTTCCTGAGAGTTTTCTTTGTTTATTTTAAGAGAGAATGGAGTGCAAATGTCTGGGGCCTCTGTGACCTTACATTCCGAAGTACGGGGCCTGCTGCCGTCTAGCCCAGCACATCCTCCTTACCAATCAGTGCTCCATCTGTTGCCTCTGCTCCAGGCTCCCTTCTCACGTGCAACAGGCTCCCTTCTCGTGTGCAACAGGCTCCCTTTTCGTGTGCAACAGGCTCCCTTCTCGTGTGCAACAGGCTCCCTTCTCGTGTGCAACAGGCTCCCTTCTCGTATGCAACAGGCTGGGGACCCATCCCCTTGATGCATATGAGCTTTATGCAAGTGGGAAAGTCTTTTCCTAGAAGAGTGGCAATTGGCTGATGTTGCTCCTGATCCATTAGGGGGGAGGATGGCAACCTCCTTTCTCTATTCACCTTTTGGATGGGGGTACAGACATCCCTTATTACAGCAGAACTAGTGATACTAGAATATTCCTCAGATAATTAGCTACTTGGACAAAGTATAAGAGGGTGATGAAAAGCTAGAACTTCAAGGGTTTGGATGACCACACCAGCCAGCTGCAAAAAAACAAAACAAAAAAACCTAGGGCTTTAGAGCCAGACAGACTTGAATCCCCATTCTGGCTTTGTCATTTACCAGCTGTTCTAACCATAGGCAAATAACTCGAACTCTTTGTGCCTCAGTTTCCTCATCTTCACAATAAGGCAATAATCATACCCTCTTCATCAGATGTTGTGCAGATTTTATTTATTTATTTATTTGTTTGTTTGTTTTATTGGCAGCTGGCTGGTTACGGGGATCTAAACCCTTGACCTCGGTGTTACCAACACCACGCTCTAACCAAGTGAGCTCTCCGGCCAGCCTCTGTTGCATAGATTTGAAAAAGATGCAGCATATGAAACATTTAGCACAGCGTCTTGTTTGTCGCAAGTACTCAATAAATGTTAACTGTGATGCTGCTGCTATAATAATTCTCAGCACCTTGTAAGTTGCTATTAGCATTTGCTGAATTACTTTATACAGCAAGTAAGGTTTGAAGGTCTTACTAGAGACTGGAAACATTTAAATGCTAGGTTCCTTGGGAAGTTGAACAAATCAGGTCTGATCTCGGATGGAGTGCCTGCCCATGCTAATAAAATGGACAGAGAACATTTCTTGAGCAGTTCCAGGAGAGCAGTTCATTGAGTTAGTTGGGATTATTATGTTATATCCACAAACAAACAAACAAACAAAAATACCTCACAAATCCTGTTATGTTATGTCCTGCCGGAATGGTTTCATTTGTTTTTATTCATTATTAGGGTAACCAGGTGTTTTATTTTATTTTATTAAAAAAAATAGAACAAGGTCGTGTGTATTTTCATTTTGGAGATTTTGTTTTAAATATCTTTCTTTTTTTTGAAATAGAAAAATATTGACTTCAAAAATTTTAGGTACTGTTCAAATAATAGTCTTCACATAGTTCATATGGGTTTCTAAAATATAGCAGGATCTTAAAAATAAAGACCGCTGATCCACTAAATGTTTTTACAGAAATAGAAAAATCTTTTTTTTTTTTTGTCTTTTTCCGTGTCCGGCAACGGATCGCAACCCTCAGTGTTGCCCCCGTACCGGACCGGGGACCGGCAACGGGATCGCAACCCTCGGTGTTGCTCCCGCGCCTCGCTCAGCCAGTGAGCGGGAACCGGTCTGTATGTGGGATCCAAACCCTCGGGCGGGAGCACCGCCGCGCTTCCCAAGCGGCGCACTTATCCAGTGCGCCACCGGGCCGGCCCATCAAATGCATTTTTAAGTGATGGGGGAAGCCAGTTGTAACCTCAGTTATATGCACTGTGTGTGAAAACTGAGATTTTACTTTTCTTGAGAACAAGATTCTAAGCTGTAATGAAAAAGCAATTCCTGGTATGGCCACAATTGAATCAAAGAAATATGCCCTTCATAGGTCCTTCAAGATTCCCTGAATCTGATTCCAGAGAGGATAGGTTATTGGTGAAGAAGTAAGCGTATGGCCCCCTAGCTGAAGTTCTAGGACTCTTTTTTTTTAAATTCTGTCCTTTGATATCTGTGGTTCTTTTTGTTGTGATCCCATGGAACTATTTGATATATTGCCTAGGTAAATAGCCTTTTAAAATTCTTAATAATTTGGTATTGATTCAAGACTTCTGACCTTCTTAAAATCCAAAGAACATTGTTTACTGCCCTTGAAGAGATCAGATTTGTTTTTTCCCAACCCGTGGAAAGGCCTTTTCGATTTCCAACTTTGGGATCAATAATGCTAGGCAGTCGGCAGAATGACAGTGCTGTGCATAGGATGTCTTTGTCTGCCTCCGTCACTCTGTTGATAGACAAAAACCATATCTCACTTAACATGCTGTATTAGTCCTTTTTGTGTTGCTGTAACAGAATACCTGAGAGTGGGTGATTTATAAAGAAAAACAAAGTTTATTGCTTACAGTTTCTGAGGCTGGGAAGTCCAAAGTCTATCTGGTGGTGGCAACAGTGACTCAGGGGCCTCATATTGCAGTATGGTGGAAGCAGAGAGAACAGAGAGAGAGAAAGACAGACTCTTCTCTTTTAAAGCCCTCAGAACCACGCCCCTGACCACCATTTTTAATCCATTCATACTGCACAGTCCTACAATCCAATCACCTCTTCAAAGCCCCACCTTTCGATTACCACAATAGGATTTCCCACCCTCTTAACAGTCACAGTGGGGGCTAAGTTTCTTTTTTTTTTTT